AAAAGGGAATGAAAGAATGAAGACGACACTTGTACGGGTGGTCACTAATTGGCTATAGAGCCCACCGTAAATTCCACCCACATCGACAACGACAGTTCCTTGAGAGATTACCTCCTGTTCCCTTGTCCGAACCACAAGGGCATTGGAGTATTCCGGAAGTAAAAGAAGCAATCCAACAGCCAGGGCGTCGTCGCAATGAAACCTAAACACATCAGAGCAACAATTCCGTACAATTTGACCATCAATGTCACTGCAGGATCATCTCAGCCTGATCATACTACCTTGCATTGTGCGTCACAATCACGGGAGTGTCTTCCGCAACGTTTTCAATCTTTTCTGCAAGCAGACATGGAAGCTTTGGAGTTATTTTGGGCATGTTGGTAGTGGATAATGATAGTCGATGGGGGACAGAACAGTTTTTTGAAAGTCCCAGGTTCATCTGATGAACGACCCAGGTGGCATCAAACATGGTGGCTTGCCTATTAACCTACCTGGTTTGATTCTTCGCGCCTTCGCCCCTTGAAGCCTGAGCTTTCGTTTCAGGATTGATTCACGCCACAGTAAGCCCTCCCCTCACAGTTCGCTAATTGTATGTCCCAAATCAAGTTCCTCCTTCCTCTCAGATGGTTCGCATGTCTGTTCTAGCAGATTGTCTGAAGACGATCGTTAATGCCGAGAAGCGAGGACGACGTCAAGTGTTGATCCGCCCGTCAAGCAAGGTCGTTGTTCACTTTTTACAGTGCATGCAAAAGAGAGGTAATGCTATGAGTTCATGGTTATGGAACTGTGGATTGTGTATCAACATTTCTGTGTCACAATTGTTGTCAAAATTGCTGTTTGTTGTCAATTCAGGTTACATAGGCGAATTCGAAATCGTCGATAACCACCGAAGCGGTAAAATCGTCGTCAACCTTCTTGGCCGGATCAACAAGTGTGGCGTTATCTCCCCCCGTTTCGATGTGACGTTGGATCGTATTGAACAAGTGACTTCGGATCTTCTACCATCCCGCCAGTTTGGGCATGTTGTCTTGACAACCTCGTATGGCATCATGGACCACGAGGAAGCCAGACACAAACACACAGGTGGTAAAATCCTGGGCTTCTTCTTCTGAGTCTTTTGATGTGAATCAAAAAACGCGAAACTTCCATGTCATTTGAAAAAAAAGGGTTGTGCACTGTTGACGTATAAAACTAGTCTTGTGTTGTAACTGGCTGGGACATAAATTTGATAGTGCTGTCGGACGGGTCTTCGGAGGCAATGATTTCATCGGGCTCTCTCGACCGTCTTCCAAGCCTCTCAAAAAGTCTCGATCTTGATTTCCTGGCGTGTTTAAATCTCCAAGCTGCGATTGGAATGGATCCCAGCTTCAATCTTCGGCTCGAATAAAAAACCAGTCGAACCTTATGGAATCGAATTTTGTTCCAACGCCATAGTTGCTGAGAACAGGTCTCGAAAATCAGCGAAGCTCCAGACTTGAGGAAACAAAACTTCTTCAAGTGGATCTTCCAGATGAATAAGACATCAAACATCTCATCGATGCGAATCCATCATCAGGTGGAACGAGTCGTACCTGTTTATGCTTTGTTTCATACAAAATTGGCGAAGTTCCATAGACGATGAAATGCACAACCAACAGATGAGAGAGGGATGACGTTCAATTTCGATATGACCAACTCGGAAGCCATCCTTGCGTCATTCGCCCGAGACCTATTAGTAATCTACTGAAGGCTGGTGTTCTAGAGGTTCCCCTTCATCTTATGTTTGGAGCTAGAGAAGAGAATCCGAACCAATAGGAATAGGACTCTTGAGTATTGGGAATCGGCTGAACACATTTCCGAAGCACAAGGACACATCGCACCTACCAAATTATAAGAAACTTGCACAGAACGCACATTGGGCGAATTCCTTCGAGCTTTGGTGAGAACTTAAGGGTAGTCATCACGTGAGACACAGGATCAATGTCGAGGCCAGCGATTGCGAGCATCTTGTGACGTGAGTGAAGGTTGAATGAGATTGGGTTACAAGAAAGGACCAAATAAATCAACTTCCAATTAAAATTAAAAAATGTGATTGGCGACATGAAGTTGAGGGCCGACTTTTTAGCAGGCACCAAATTTGTACACGACGAACAAAAAAGAAAGTTCCCAAACGTGGGAAGTAACTGGACAACACGCAGGCTGACGATCACGCCATCTAGCTTCTATAGAACTCTACAGCTAAAAAATAATCTTCCAAGATTCAAACTTGGACAGAAAAAAGAACTCAACTTTTTCTTAAGACGGAAACTAGCACCCCAAGTGTGTGCCATATAACACACTTACACGCCAAGGGCGACATTAGTTGGCCTAAGGTCACTCTCCTCCGAGAAGATTGTTTTTGTGACAGATAAGCAGCAAGTCCCACTCCTCCCGCTGCTAAAAGAAACGCACCCACGGCAGTTCCCAAGACAATATCTTTTACATGCGAGGAATTATCTTGGGGGGATGTTGTTGTTGACGTTGTAGTTGACGTTGTAGTTGACGTTGTAGTTGACGTTGTAGTTGACGTTGTAGTTGACGTTGTAGTTGACGTTGTAGTTGACGTTGTAGTTGACGTTGTAGTTGACGTTGTAGTTGACGTTGTAGTTGACGTTGTAGTTGACGTTGTAGTTGACGTTGTAGTTGACGCTGTAGTTGACGTTGTAGTTGACGTTGTAGTTGACGCTGTAGTTGACGTTGTAGTTGACGTTGTAGTTGACGTTGATGTCGTGGTGGTGGTGGTTGCGGCGGTGGTTGCGGCGGTGGTTGCGGCGGTGGTTGCGGCGGTGGTTGCGGCGGTGGTTGCGGCGGTGGTTGCGGCGGTGGTTGCGGCGGTGGTTGCGGCGGTGGTTGCGGCGGTGGTTGCGGCGGTGGTTGCGGCGGTGGTTGCGGCGGTGGTTGCGGCGGTGGTTGCGGCGGTGGTTGCGGCGGTGGTTGCGGCGGTGGTTGCGGCGGTGGTTGCGGCGGTGGTTGCGGCGGTGGTTGCGGCGGTGGTTGCGGCGGTGGTTGCGGCGGTGGTTGCGGCGGTGGTTGCGGCGGTGGTTGCGGCGGTGGTTGTTGTTGACGAAGTGCTGAACGTCGTTGACATTGTAGTTGGCTTTGATGTCGCTGTGGGTGTGGTGGTGGGTAATGTGGTGATGGGCAGTGTGGTGATGGGCAGTGTGGTGATGGGTAGTGTGGTGATGGGTAATATGGTGGGTGTGGCGGTTGTAGGTGTAGTGGTTGTAGGTGTAGTGGTTGTAGGTGTGGTGGTTGTTGGTGTGGTGGTTGTCGGTGTGGCGGTTGTCGGTGTGGTGGTTGTCGGTGTAGCGGTTGTCGGTGTGGTGGTTGTTGGTGTGGTGGTTGTTGGTGTGGTGGTTGTTGGTGTGGTGGTTGTTGGTGTGGTGGTTGTTGGTGTGGTGGTTGTTGGTGTGGTGGTTGTTGGTGTGGTGGTTGTTGGTGTGGTGGTTGTTGGTGTGGTGGTTGTTGGTGTGGTGGTTGTTGGTGTGGTGGTTGTTGGTGTGGTGGTTGTTGGTGTGGTGGTTGTTGGTGTGGAGGTTGTTGGTGTGGTGGTTGTTGATGTGGTGGTTGTTGATGTGGTGGTTGTTGGTGTGGTGGTTGTTGGTGTGGTGGTTGTTGGTGTGGTGGTTGTTGGTGTGGTGGTTGTTGGTGTGGTGGTTGTTGGTGTGGTGGTTGTTGGTGTGGTGGTTGTTGTGGTGGTGGTTGTTGTGGTGGTGGTTGTTGTGGTGGTGGTTGTTGTGGTGGTGGTTGTTGTGGTGGTGGTTGTTGTGGTGGTGGTTGTTGTGGTGGTGGTTGTTGTGGTCATGGTTGTTGTGGTGATGGTTGTTGTGGTGGTGGTTGTTGTGGTGGTGGTTGTTGTGGTGGTGGTTGTTGTGGTGGTGGTTGTTGTGGTGGTGGTTGTTGTGGTGGTGGTTGTTGTGGTGGTGGTTGTTGTGGTGGTGGTTGTTGTGGTGGTGGTTGTTGTGGTGGTGGTTGTTGTCGTGGTGGTGGTTGTTGTCGTGGTGGTGGTTGTTGTCGTGGTGGTGGTTGTTGAGGTGGTGGTTGTTGAGGTGGTGGTTGTTGTGGCGGTTGTTGTTGTTGTAGTAGTTGGATCAATTTCTGGAGAAGGGTTTCCTGATTGCTAACATCTGACAGGTGAACTAGAAACGGAAGTTATTATGGCTTGGTCCACTCACGAAGAACAAAATAACAAGAGTGTGGCTAACAGACGAAAGCACTGAGTTGGTTTCTCATACATGGCTTGGAACCAGTTGTTCATGAAACCTCGTGCTGTTTTCCTTTCTGTTCTACCAATCTTGATTGTCGTACAGGCATTGCATTGGGGCATTTCATAAATTGGGGCATTTCATAAATCGTAATGAATTGTCTCCTTGAATCTTGCAAGTATATAACAAGGAATCTTGTAGAGGCGAATGCATCTTCTCCCCCCATCCCAAGGGTTGGAGTCTTAAATAGAGATGAGGAGCTCGAGCAAGTTGTGGTCACGTCTGCATGCTAGAAAAGATCTCTGCACAACAGTTTGGAAGCGGCGAGGGGATGATAACGAACGATTCGGCGGCTATGGAAACCGTTCGCTGGAAAATTTCCGAAGAAAGCTGTCTTAAGCGCTCTAGATGTAACTGATCCTTCGCCAAGCGGATATTTTCCTCAACACTCTTTTTCCTTCGAGTCAAAGTCCGATCATTTAAGTGGCCGCCACATGACGGTCATTACTCAGTTCTCCGAGAACTGAAAAAGCACCATCATGTCGTTTTTTTATTCAAAATCACGTCCCTCACAATCAACTGGACTTCATGCTTTGTTATGATTGTATGCGCATCAACATTCAGTGCTCCCATCAGACTTGATGTTCTCTTTTGGTTCAATGAATTAATCAGTTCGATACACAAATTTATGCAAGGGTTTGAAAATATCAAAGATTGTAAGTGCAAGCGTCTAGATTCAATTCTTGAAAGCGGAACATTCAGAATTTGAATCCAGCTTCTTGCAAAGTCTTATCGACGAGGAGAAGGCAGGCTTCACGAGTCTTGCATCCCGCAAGAAATCGAGCATGATCTGAACACAAGGAAACAGAATCAGTGTTTGGCTGGATTCGAGTATATCGAACGTACGGACAAAAGATACACCTGGGAATCCCAAATCATCCAAAGGCCCATCACGTAGTCCTGCGGGGAAATCGAGGCGATTCCCGAAAGCAGTTTGAGAAGCTCGAATAGCTTTCACTCTCCATGACGATTTATCCGATGTGTTTGGATAAATCACAAATAGAATTCCAGTATTAGAATTTTCAAGACCCATCTCGCTTTCAAGCTGATATAAATGATCCTAAGAAGCAGATACATAGAATTTAAAACATTAAACATTAAAATATATAATGACAGACACATAGAACCAACCCGTCAATGTACGCAGCCGGCCACGCAAAGAATACAAGGAGGAGAGAATGACGATACATCGCGAATAGAACTAGGAACAAGCTCTCTGTATTGCGGATGTGTAGCTTTTTGGATGGGTCGAGACGTCGCAATGCCCGTTCATGTTTAGATTGATATGACAACAAAAGAATGCGGAAAAATTCGTGCGGCTTCATTGAGCCCCAAAAAATAGATTAAAACTTAATAAGAGGCGCTTCTTCACATTTACTGCAACCTTCACGACACAATTACCATCAACGCAGTCGCAATCACAGTCCCCTTCATTACAAGTGGTACTTGTTGGTGTACCCGTAGATGTAACGATGGCTTCCGGCGTTTCGGTTGTTGTCGTGGTGGTCGTAGTTGTTGTCGTGGTGGTCGTAGTTGTTGTCGTGGTGGTCGTAGTTGTTGTCGTGATGGTCGTAGTTGTTGTCGTGGTGGTCGTAGTTGTTGTCGCGGTGGTCGTAGTTGTTGTCGTGGTGGTCGTAGTTGTTGTCGTGGTGGTCGTAGTTGTTGTCGTGGTGGTCGTAGTTGTTGTCGCGACTTCCTCTCCTGACTCCTTAGTGAACCAGCTCACAGTATGTTGATCGGTCTCAAACCTGACAACGAAAGATTGCTTCACTCTTCAGAGATTCATCTCACCCCGAATTTGTCAGCTGACGGAAAACCACTTCTTCAATGACACAGTCGTAGCAGTAGAAGTTTGTCTGCAACACAGGCCGTCAAATTTGTAACAGAAAGGAATAACCCACAAATGCCCAAAAAGTTGAGAAGGTCACTCCAGCATTGCTGTGGTTGGTTCGGCAGAGTGTCACACAGTTGGTTCACTCCAGAGCTGAAGCTGTTTCCATACCAAGGGTCCGATCTGTATTGAAGAGACGCAGATGTCAACCTCCGCTTTCAAGACCCGATGGTGGTTCTTCGTCACCAGCCACTTACCAAACCTCTTTTTCGTCTCGGTTTGACGGCTCGATAGAAGTTGATTCAAATGTCGCGATGAAGCCTCTCAAAAAGGAGAGGAGGGAGTTCGCAATGGAACACCCTCCGTTGAACCCGAAGAGAGAGGGAATCATCCATCGTGGCTCTTTCCGCCTCCCTTGAGAGACTTCAATAGAATTGAAGACTCCAAGAAAATGAAACATGTGAAGTTCAAGAATGTTTGGAGTTCAGCGATCGATAAATTGCCATTCTCATCACTCGGCGAGAAATGTGGAGAATTTGTCGACAGAAAAGAGCAGTTGAAGGAAGAGCTTTCCTCTCGCAGGTCCAATGCTGGAATTCGAATTTGGAAGCGAAAACCCAATTGGAAGGCGGCTTCAGTTTATAGGCGAGGGAGGGGCTATAAGAAGAAGAAGCGTCAAGACGTGTGGACAAGAATGCCAGATATTGTTGAACTTCTTTGCATTATTAGAGAAGAAAACATTCTTTGATTGGGTTTGTAAGACTCCAAAGGCTTCATTGATTATTGACTGGAATTTTGACTTGGCTGTCCTCCAAACCGAAGAAGACAACACGTGTCACAATGATCATGACAGCTTTCCTCTTCATTTAAGGGATGCCCGCTCCAATCGGAATATCAATTATTTGCTTGTTGAACTACAAACAATTTCTGAGCATTATCTTGCTGCATTTCAATTTTCTTGCAATTGAGCGTGTTTCTCAATTATGCTCGTTCCTTGTGGAGCAGCAGCTGACACTCGAGCAGCATTCAACAGCTCCCGCTTTGGACAAGGAAAGCTTCCACTTTTCTCAGTGTCCTTGTCCAAACCGAAGACCTCCCATCGTTTGTTCAAACAAATTGCCCTTCGCCAAGGCGATAAATCCCTCATCAAAGCTTTCACTTCCGACCTTATCATCCCATCTTTTGTAAACGTAACTGAGAGTATTCAGAGTTCATAGTATGGCTCAAATTTTTCGAATGGATGTTCTTCATGTTCCGCTTGTCCGAACCCACCCTTTCATTTCCGCCTAGTCAGCTCAAATTGCGCAGCACAAAGAACGATGAAACACTTTCGTCCGTTTCTTGATCGCACGAGATTCGAGAAAAATGTTATGCCAGAAGAAGTGTCCTAGTGTTGAAGGGGTGATATTGTCATGCCCCTTCAATCACCATGTGAAAGGTTGCGTGCACGTAGTTGCAAACTGCACAAGATTCTTGTCCGTGTGTCTCAACAGCGTGCCTCATGTTACTATATGCAGTATCGAAACAGTTCGCCAGCTCTTGATACCTTGACGTAGCCTTCATGCCCATCCTTACCCCCATCAATTCCTTCATGTCCCAATTCCCTTTTTTTGAACCAGTGATGTCTTGGGCGTCACTCTTCCCGATTCCTCCATTGTTATATTACATATTTGCCTTCATCATTATTTATTTCACTCTTAATTTTATGATGTATGTGTTCCAAGCACTGAAGAGAGTTTTTTGCTATCTTGTCATTGTGATTGGAGGAACAACCGTGATCATTCTCTGTTACCTTGCACATGTGTTCATCCCACCTATCTGCGAAGCACTTTACACTTACGTAACAACACTCTTTGCAAACACCCATAGTAGTTTCCGCCAACAAGCACTCGAACTAGCAAGCCGCATCGTCGAAATCACACCAACACCCCCACCTGCGAGCACTACTCCGGCCTTCACCTTATTTTCCTCTTTCGGGATCATTGCCACAGTGGCCTTACTGTGTACGGCTGCAAAGAACCTCCCACCATGTGTGCAAAGTTCTGGACGTCTACCAAGACAATATTGTTGTATCTCCGAACCATCTTCTTCTGTCTCATGTTCCGATGGAGTCTATCTTCTATTCTATATGATTGTAGTCAGGTTTGAGGCTGCTATCTTGTGAATGCGCACCGGGGAATAACAAAGTATCATGAGTTACGAGTTGGAGGATGCAGAATGTCGCAAAGCTGTGAGCGTGGAAAGCAGCAAGAGTATCTGAAGAAGGTAACCGAACCTGTAATCAAGAATGAAAGAAGAAGAAGAGAGAAAACCGTTCTTGAGTACTGAACCCGTTTTCAAAGCACAAAGACACATCACGCATTACAAGCTGCATAGTCCTCTTGTTTGGAATGGATATTTCCAAACAACCAGTTGGTGTCATTTGGCTTCAAGAATGTTAGAGAATTTTGTTCTAACAGTGTGGATAAAGTCGATTCTGTTGAAATGTACTCGCGGAAAAGTTCGAATCACTGGAGTTTCTACTTTGAGGGATTAGATTCCAACTTCTTGGGAAGTTTGTCTGAGAGCGCCGGAGATTGAGGCCTGAGCGATTCTCAACCCAAGTTTTTCGGGCGGAGTATTTGGGACTGTTTGTGAGGGCATACAGGTAGGCTTACGCGGAATCGTTTAACGCAGTGCTACCAGGACCAGCTGGTCTGCCCATTTACTCCCCGGGAACTTTTGGTGTTTCTCATTGTTCCATCGGAACGTGTATCTTATTGTTAAACTGAGAAGGAACTTTTGGAGTGTGGAATGATATATACTTGGGAAGGGTGCCGTTTATCATCGGATGCGCTATATTGTCAGCGGTGGGGGTATCCAGCAGAAAGCAACCAATTTACTGAGTGGGAGAACTCTACTGAGCAAGAGAACGCTTTGGCTCCTGAATTGTATTAATTGTTGTTCATTGTTTCAATTGTTGTTGTTTCAATTCCAGCCCGAAACGCTTGGTCAAATTCTTTATCTTGCAAGAATTTTGAAGTTGTGACGGTTCGTAGATTTATACTGCGCATCTAAAACAAAGCGTTGCGAGCTCCGAGATCGTCGAAAGAGCAGATACATCCTCCCAAGGCCTTCAACCCCTTCATGCTTGTTATAGGTAGAGGCGAACAACACCAATTGAAACAATGAACAACAATAGCTTTCTAAATAATAAATTGTATTCGAATACGGGAAAAAGGACACTTCGGACGAACTGCACAGGAACTGTCGATATGAAACTACGATGACTCTGCAAGAAAACCCCATGCTTGCATCACTTCAGCTGCATTTTTCTTAATTTGAGAGGCGGTCAG